AAGGTCAGGACCGTAAGTAGTGCCCGTATTTCGTTGCAGTTCTTCAAACAATTTTAGAACCGGGATCTCACATAAGGCTATACAAAACGAGGAGGGTAAAATAATACTAGGATACGTTGATCGGACGGTTTGTTTCGAAACAGAATAATTAGAAGCAAAGAACTCACTAAACATTTCAGACACATTGATCATATTGTCTGACTTATTTCCAAAATGCATAGAGTTTGGAAGTAAGTTATTATTTCTTTTATCTTTCACAAATTTCCAAAAGTATTTTGGGTTAACAATTAAATTATTTTGAACACGGTTAATATAATCTGAATAACATTTTTTTGATAGGTTTTTACATTTAGATCTAATAGCTGAGAACTCATTATATATTGATTGGTCTTTTTTAATTTTGAAAATCTTGTGAAGGGCATTTTTTTTACGTATTAATTGACAAAGTTCCTTTGAAAACCAACTTGGGAAAGGAAACTTCTTTGCATAAACTTGTAATGTTGCAGAATTTATACGAGTTTTTTTTTTATAAATCTTATCAGTTAATAGTGTGTGCATTAGGTATTATGTATGTCCCCAATTATAAAATTAGTTTATATACCAATCAACCGATCCAATGGTCAGTACCCGGTTTGTTGTGACAGTTGACCGCACACAGTGCATCCCTACACTTTTGTATTTTCCCTATGAACCAGTTCAAAGTTGGCACCACCACCACCCGGCGACATCATGATCACCGGCCACTATCCAAATGCCGCGACAATGAATTTTTTTTTTCTCATCCAAACTACCGAGGCGACAAGTTGTCTGTTTTTTTGTGAAAACCACGTTTTTGTTTTTTGTATTTTTTTTTTTGTCCTCCGTTTTTTTTTTTATAAAATAAAACGTTGAGTCGACCTGCCGTCTACTTTGGAGTCAACCAGGCCGTTTATTGTATTTTTTTGTCCTCCGTTTTTTTGTATAAAATAAAACGTCGAGATGTCCACGATGGCGTAAGACACAACTATGGCCGGTGGTGGGCCGGCACTCCTCAAGATCAAGTACAACATCAATAAAACCCCCTTTTACCCCCTTTTTAATTTGTGTATCAAGCACCTCCTTTTTTTTCTTATTCTCCTTTCATATGAAAATATATATATTTAAAATAATAATTATAAAAAAATGTTATTATATTATACATGGCCTCTTTTATTTTTCTCTCTATACTTTTCCCTCATTTTTATTAATATTTGTTTTTTTTTTTGTTTTTATCAAAACCTAGTAGCTCCGTCAGCAAGTACTATCTTGTTTGGCGCGGCTACTAGGTCACTGTCCAGTGTTCCCCCTGGGCAGTGGGTAATTAGTAGGCCCTCTGTTTTGGCTGAAACATTACAAACTTTAGGAACGAATAAATCGATAGAATGTAAGAGTATCTCATAAAATTTATCAAGCGCACTATTAATTTCATCATAGTCATATAAAATCGACCAGTCAATAGAACTTAAATAATAAGACATTTGACAATAATTACCACGTTTAAAATTATAATACCAATTCAAGGGGTATGAATGCTGATAATTGTTACTTNATTACCACGTTTAAAATTATAATACCAATTCAAGGGGCATGAATGCTGATAATTGTTACTACGTTGTAACTCAACTAACAAAGCCGGATGGTATGGGTCTAATGGCACCAATATATCTGTTGAGGTATTGACAGTGATCAAATTTGTATTAGAAAATATTAAATCCAGATATGAATTGTATATATTAGGAATTGTGTTGACCTGATACAAGTTTAAAGATGAAAAGCACTCATAAATAACATCTACTTTAACTGATCGAGCGCCATTGTAAATCATGCCATGGTCATCATTATAGAATTTTGTATCACCTAAATTGTAATCTCCCATTAAAATAAAAGTAAAATTGGTTTTAACAACACTAGATAAAATAGACTGCACAGTATTAGCATGAGCTGAGTAAACACTAACTGAGCTTCCAGGTGGTATATAGCATGCACCAATAATATATTTTAAATTACCACCACTATTTACAGTCACAAACAACTATTCAACATTATTCATAACATTAACATTATTTTAAGGTTAGAACTTTTCCTATATAAAGAAAAATGATTTGATTTTTAAAAAGTATATCGTATGAAAATAATACGTATTAAGTACTTATATTGTATATATCTGTTCCTTTTTTTATAGTTATGCCGATTTTAAAAATAAACATGTGTAAATTTACCGATTCTAAAATTAGTACAAAATGATTGGTAAATACCTCATGTACCTATAAAAAAAATGGTATTGATCCATACATTTTTCAAAAAGTTATGGCAGTTTTAAGTAAAAAAAAAACGGTAGCACAGTGGGGTCGAGGCACAGTGTGGACGAGGCATAAATGGGACAAGTATAGATGATATCTGACAGTGATTAAAATCACTATCATAAAAAACGCTTCGATGCAAATCTGTAGATAGTGTTTCCTTTAAAGAAATTGGTGAAATATTTTAAAAGCAACATCAACTTTTATTTCTTTAATTATATCCTGATTAGTAGTTCTTTGATTTTAAAACATAATATATGAATAAATACTAATTATAGTTTTTAAATTTAGTATGAAATTGTGAGGCCAGCTATGATGTATGATTCATAGTGTTGGGCGGTTGATAAGAAAGTAGAGCAGAGAATAAGTGTAGCAGAGATGAGAATGCTTAGTTGGATTGTTATAATACATACACCACTCATTATTCAGTAGTATATATGTTATTACCTATTAGTCATCAAATTAAAAATATTATTCATGTTAATACTTTAAACTATTCCAAGAAATATGTCTAAAAATACATTGATATAAATCTACTGTAATAATTATAAGAAATTCTTTAGTTGTGACAAATTATCTATTTTAAGTAAAATAATATGTAATAAATAACACAAATTGAGTAATAAACAGATAATAGTAAAAGGTCGTGAAACTTCTTGCATAGATAANAGATAATAGTAAAAGGTCGTGACACTTCTTGCATAGATAGATGAATTAAATTTAATATAAAAGGGCATAAAAACTGTCAATCTCTCTCACTACTACTTCACCTTATGAACTTTCAACGAATGCAAGAAGTGGCTTGACAAAATACGATTTTACATAGAAAATTGAAGTATATTCATTTTTTTTTCAACATTAGTCCTGAAATCATTAAAGGTAAATTCATATTCAAAGTTAATATGATGAGTACATAAATTAAGTAGGAAACCAGAAAAAGTAAAGTGATCTTTAGAATAAAATATTCTCTAAATAAATAAAGAAAATCAATAACGTTTGTACGAAGTTAGCCAGCCTAGTCTAATCTTTGAGTGGGTTACCTGTGTAGTCAATACTAATAAAGACTCTCTTGCGAAGATAGAGAACCCACTTGTGGTTCCTATACTACTCGAGGTTTTTATTGACTCGACTCACAGTCACCACAACCCTAGATAACTACAAGTACGAGTGGCGTTGTTGATGATCTATGTGTGATAATTAATCACAATAATTTCTATTTAAAATTATTATTATATTAATAAATTTTCAAACATCACTTTGTTTTTCTATATTTTACATCTTCTCGTATACCCTCGTACTCATATCCCGAGAGAAAATTATATTATATCATTTTCTTTATTCAATAAATATTATAGTAACTCAATTATTCTCATGGTCATATAATACCAACAAATATAAATAATTTTAATAAATTATACTTTAATTATTAGTAAAAAACTTCTTAATAATTTTCTCCTTTTATTTTGAGTTACTATAGGATGTGTGGAGTGACTAGAGAAGATAGGATAAGGAACGAGCATATAAGAGGAAGTATAGGTGTTGCGTCAATCGTGGGTAAGATGACCGAAAATAGACTTAGATTGTTTAGTCATGTTATGAGGAGAGAAGAATCGTAAGCTGTAAGAACAGTTATAGAAATGAATGTTGAAGGAAGAAGAGATAGAGGAAGACCAAAAAAGAGATGGAGGGATGCTATTGAATGCGATTTGAGGACAGCTGATGTGAGCGTAGAAGATGTGGGAGATCGTGTCAAGTGGAAGCTTAGGATAAGGGTGGCCGAGCCCAAGTAGTTGGGATTAAGACAAAGAAAAAGAAAAGATTACCAGAAATTCCGGTGGCAATTGACATAATATGATTGTTGTTTGGGAATGTACAATTTAGCGTTTAGTTGGGTTTAAACAATATAGCGTCAAATCAATTACCTACTCTATCGCTTGTATATTAATATACACTACACTTTAATGATACAATAAATAAATAAACTCACACATACACACATACACACATACACACATATGCATTTATAACATTGTGTCTAACGTAAGTGTAACATGATAAAAAGTAACAGTAAAATTAAAAAAATGGAATATAAATTTTAGTACTCATATTAAATGTAATGTAACTCGAAAAATATTTGTTTAAATGAAAAAATATAAGATAATTTTTTTGTTTATTAATTAGTTTAAGTTTATAAACTTTTTCTTACTTTCTATGATTTTTTGAACGTCCTCATCCCACCACAAGGTTTCCTTGTTTCCTGGCATTCTACTCCTACTCTCACCAACAATCTCCTTAGCAGTATTCTTTACACAACTAGCAAATCTATTCCACACATCATTTATGTCTCCCTCGACATTCCACACCGTCCATTCTTTTACCGTCTTTAAAAACTCTTTCAATTTCCACCAAATACTCTTAAAGCTGAATACTCGGGCGTAGCCTATCTATGTGTATATAATCTATGGTCACGGCAATTAAATGCACGATTTTAGAAGATAAGGATGTGTTTTGAGTTTACTCAAAACTGAGTTTACAGTTTTATAACCGTGATTCGTTGTATTGAATTATAGAAGTAATGACTTTACTACCATTTATTATCAAACCGGCTTGGTAAACCAAGCCGGTAAACCATTTATTTTTATCTTTATCAAATTGAAAACGTCATTAAATGTTATAACTTATAAGCTTTTTAAGAGAAAACAAATGTGTGAAATGGTAATTATTTAATTGTGGATGGTCTTTTATTGTTATTATTTTACTAACTATGAAGAGATTTGATCTTAAATATTATTGAGTATTCTCCTTAAATATTTTTGTAATTTATTTTTAAGTCAATTACATACATATCTTAAATCAAGATAATCATTCACAATAAAAAATTATCACCATGCATTTAAAAATCATTTTATTTTGGTTTATTGTCACTTGTAGTGTATATGTTGGTTGTATAAGAGAAGAACGGACAAAGGTAAAGTGACTTAAAAGAAAGAAAAAAAAAACATAAAAAGATAATATTAACTACTCACAAAAAATTTGTAGGAAAAGCAAAAATATTTGAAATTTCTATTCTATTTTATTATTTATAAGACTAGTTATAATTATCTAGTTAAATTTTTATGTTTTATAATTAAGTTTTTTTATTCTTAAAGATTTAATATTAGAAAAATAAAAAAATTTAAATTGTGTTACTATGTTTAACGTTAGGTGATATAATAAAACAAAATTTAATTTTAGAGTCTTGATCAAAAAGTGCTGCAATTAAATGATATGTATGCAAAAAAGTTTGTAATGAGATTTAATGGGCCAAAGTTCAAAGAATTTGTTAAAAATCCACCAAGAAATTATTCAGTCATTATGATGTTTACTGCTATGGCATCTCACAGACAATGTTCAATTTGTGGGTAAACAAAATTTTTATTACCTCAACATTCTAAAATAAATATACTTTTTTTTATTCTACAAACTATTTTTTTATATAGTCATGCGAGTGATGAATTTGTCGTTGTTGCAAATTCTTATCGCTATGCTCATAGGTTAGATGGTCCTTTATACTTTGGAATAGTTGACTTTGATGAAGGTTCAGATATTTTTCAGACGGTTTGTACAATATTTAAATTTAAAAATGATTATAGTTAAGGTTTATAGACATTTACATTGTTTTGTTTTACTCTATATAGATGCGAATTAACACTGCACCTGTTTTTATGCATTTTCCATCTAAAGGTAAACCAAAACCATTGGATACCATGGATATCCAAAGACTTGGTTTTGCTGCAGAAATGATTGCTAAATGGATACAAGAAAGAACAGATGTACAAGTTAGTAGAAATAGAAAAAAAATATTATTTTTTCAGACAATCTTGTTAATTTAAAATTAATACTTGTTATAAAATACTTCTTATACCATGATTTTTAAGTAAATTAGCATAGCTAGAATTTATTTTTGAAGCGTTTTTAATTTTATAGTAAAAATTATTGTTATTTTAACACTTAATAACTGTTTTTATTTTGAAATGATTATCAAAAGCAGGGCTAACACAAGGTAATTGGTCTCTCATAGTAAAATTATATAAGCAACTTTTTAATTTTTTGATTGTTTTTTTTTTAATAAAAAAATTTAAAAATATCACACTTAGCAGTTGTTTGGCTAACCTGTATGTTAAGTTGACAATGATCTTAAGCTCTTCTGATTATGTCACTATAAAAAATTAAGAATATTCAAGTGAAATAATATACGTTAGAGTTAAATTTTTTAAATATTATCATCTTATGTTGTTATTATTATAAATGTCTAATATAACATCAAGAACATTTATTGATTAATAATATGATTATGAATATAAATAAAAAGTATTGTATTTAATAACCTCAAGGTTTTTTTTTAATTAGATACGAATTTTCCGGCCTCCAAATTATTCAAGCACGCTTGCTTTGTCAATATTGTTTGCAATTTGTTCATCATTTTTGTATGTCAGAAGAAACAATATGGATATGTTTTTCAATAAAAATTTATGGGGTATTGGAGCTGTGGTAATTATAAATAAGTGAATTGGCTATCTATTTTGTTTTATTTGTTATATTCATTTTAGCTATTCTGTTTAACCATGATATCTGGACAAATGTGGAATCATATAAGAGGACCACCTCTTATGCATCGTAACCAACAAGGAATTATTACTTACATTCATAACTCATCTCAAGGTCAGTTTATAGTAGAAACATACATTATCATTGTTTTGAGTATCCTTTTTTTAAAAAAAATAATGCTAGATAAGAATGTTGGATAGTTATAAAGATTTTTAGGATTATTACTCTTGTTTTATCTTTATTGCATTACTATTTCAGTTTTTCCACGGGATGATGATTGTGACACTTTTTGTCAGACAGGTAGGTTTATGCTGAGTAGACTACTGATAGCATAACTACAGGCTACTTGTGACACTTACATAAATTATTCATTCTTTCTTTAAAAAGAACCTTTAGAAAAGGTTTTCTTAAAAAATACTTTTGGTATTTGTTTTATACTTTGTTATTAATTATCACTGTTAATTAAGTTTTATAATATATTCCTTAACATAAATATTATTCAATATTCAATCAATTATGCTATTATTAAAATTTAATATTTAATATATAATTTAAAATAAGAATGGTATTTAATGCATAATAATAATTAATGAATCAATGAATGGTTACTAAAAAGACGTTATGAGTCAAGGAGCTAATAATACACCATAAAAATTTATAAAAAAACATAAATTTTTACATAATAAGTAATAATTATAATTGACTATATTTCTGTTTTAAATTTTAGGTGCAGATTACTAGTTACTTAGGATTTTCTATTTTTTAATTCAATTGTGACAATATTATATTTTATCTAATTTATATGATTATTTATAAATTGATAATTTTATTATTCACTAAAAATGAAGTCCACTTTTTTTAATTATAGTTTATGATACAATATTAAATAGATGAAAGTACTTTATTTAGAAGTGTAATAAAAAGTTTTGTTTGATAATTTATCGTTGAGTAGTAGCAAAAAGTCAAGTCTTCTTTTGATATAAATAAATGTAATACACAGTGGTGTTTCACTTCTCTTAAATACTTTTTAAAAGTGAACCTAACTTGTTGAGGAAAGCTATAAAATATACTTAAAAAAGTTTTTCTTAATATTAAATCAGATACTATTTTGGTTTTTGGAGCCATACTTATGACAGATTCATATACAAAGAAAACTGAATCAAAAACCCGCAAAATAATGGCTATTGGTGGCTTAGCTTTAGTGGTGTTTTTATTTAGTGTTATACTATCAATATTTAAATCTAAAGCCCATGGTTATCCTTACAGGTATAAATTATTATTATTTTTGAAATTAAATGGTATTAATTCTAATATTTTCACTATTTCAGTTTTTTGATCAAATGAATTATTCAATAAATACTACTTAAACATAATTGTTCAACCGGTGAAAAATTGAAAATTAAAATTGACATTGAAAATGTCATGTACTGAAATGAATTATATATTTCTGTTTGAAATTAATTATACTTATTAAAATTAAAAACCTCAAGGAATTTTACGAATATTGTATTCATATTTGATTATATATTGACACGAAACATGAATCACATAAATTTAGAAATAGTAAAGGTTTGTTTGTTTACAATCAATTTAAACTAAACAATATATTTTCTTGCTATTTCAATTTAATTAGTATCCTTTAATGAATCAATATTTATCCATCTAAATTTTGTTTTCACTGCCTCTTTGCGTACCAATCTTTTCTTATCATCAAGACATTTTGCCAATTCAAAAATAACCTAAAAAGCAATAATAAATTAGTTCATATTAATTTAGGAAATTTTAGTGTAAAAATGTCTTATTGTATAGATAAATTTGCATTAAAATGAAAGAAGGAAACTATGGGTCACAAGTCTTATGACCTATAGTACCTTTATGTTTAAGAGCGACTACAATACTAAAATATAAGATAATATAACAATGAGTTAAATTATAGCAGATAAATAAAACTAAAACATCAAAAAATAATAAGTCTAAAACAATCATAATCTGGATTTGAATGTTTATAATAAATTGTTTTAATAGTAGAATTTAAGATTAATGTCTTATAAGCAATTTACTTGAAGGTTTACAATACATAAAATATTTCATTATTAAATATTGGTTTTATTAATCAAGTTAATATTTATTTTTGAGTAATTATTATAAAGTATAACTGAGTCTGGAACATATTGCCCTATGATGTGTAAGAAAAAAGTGAATTTAATTTCATTTTTTTTAACTATAAAAGTTTTTTAGTTTTTAACCAAAAACAAAAACTTGAAAGAAAATTTTTTTAAATTTTATAGCAAAAAAAAAAAAATGTACCTTTTTCTTTAATGGTAAAAGCTTAATTAATGAAAAATCACAACAATGATACAAGCACTGTAGTGCTCTAATTCGAATCATCATTAATTTTGAGTTATGTGAAAGAAATAATAATTTTGGTACAAATGATTGTAGGTAGTCTTCCAAAATATAAGCTTTTGACTCTAATAACCTGCAAAAAATGTGTAATGACTGCAAAACATGAGTTTGTTCTGGGCATAAAATTTGAAGAAGAATAGGTAGAATCTAAAAATAAAGTCGCAAGCTGGTTAAAATTAATAAAAGAAATTAATATCTGGATAAAAATTACTTCAGTAAAGTATGGTGAAATTGATGTATAAGAACTTCCATTCATTTGATACAAAATACTTGTGAGATAGTTTTCTTTTATTGGTTCAGATGATTTATTATATAGCGAAATTAATGGTTCAATTACATAACAAAAGAATCTTTGTTTATACAAAAGTCTAAAGTTTAAAAAACATATTTTTTTTAAATGACAAAAAAAAAATATAAATATATAATATGTAAAAAATAATTGTATACTTGATAGAACAAAAACAAGTTGTACTCAAATATTGATTATCAGTCTGTGTTAACAATAAAAAACCAGTAGTTGCTATTTTTCCATATTCTGGATCAGCTAATAAGTTAACTAGCTAAAAAAAAACATGAACTAAATACTAAAAAAATAAAATATATTAATAAACTACCCAGTCAACCCATATTAACATTTTATTGTGCCCTTTTAATGTTAATGCTTTTGTTATCCATGCCATTTGATTGATTACATATTGTTTATTTGTATTAGGGAATTTTATAATACCTTCTAATTTCAATTTATACTTATCTAAATGTACATCATACTCATCACCTGGATAAAAGTATCAAAAAAAACAATGTTATTTTCATATAATAATGTGTAAAATAAGGCATATTCAAGTTAAATGAATGCTATACCATTAAAGTATTTATTTATTAAAGTGGCAGTTAATCTTGATGCTGATAGGGCACATATAGAAAGTTTAGTATTTATTGCCATTTCAATACAATTCTTCACTATTAAAGTAATATTTTTAATTTCAATGCAAGGGTTCAATGAATTAAGTAAACTTTCTAATAAAACAATCTGTAATTTATAAATTATATGTACATTTGTCAATCATTTTTTAATATTAAGATAGCATTACATAATAATTTTTTAATGGTAGAACAAAAAAATCAACCTCCAAAATGTTAAAATGGTATCCCTTAATTTTTTTATATAAGATACTGAAAATTTATTGTTAACATTTTTTTTTGTGATTTATGAAAAAACACATTAAAAATTTGAGTAAAATGTGTATTAGGTTAATTTTTGCACATGCTTCAAGTAGATAAAAAAATGTATGAAAAAGACAACAAATATAGATATTGGTGTATTTTTCTAGATGTTGCAATTAGCAAAAATTTACATATACATGACAACTAATTTGTCAAAAGCACTTATTTAATTGAAATATAAAAATAATATTGATATATTTTTTTATTTATCCCTTATAACTTATAAGGGTGTCAAATTTAATTTTTAAATAGCACTATACATAACTAACTAGCGTACTTAATAGATAATGAACTAAGAAAATGATTGGTTTATTATAACTTTTGATCAGTATTTAAAAAATAAATTTTAAAGTAAGATCAAGGAACTATAAGAGAATAATAAAAAATTTTTTATGATATATATTTTTTTAATTAAGTGACTCATGACAAAAGAATAATCCTGTACATGTTACCCAATCAGTAAACTTCTATATCAATTTATGTATTATTACCAGTTTATTAAGAAAAATTTCATCTAAGTTTTAATTTTAGCAGTTCAAAATATATACGAGGTTCTTTATTTTTTATTAAAAAAGTAAATACAGTAATAAGTATGAGTAATAATTAACTATAAGAATAACAAATTAATCAAGTAGATTAATAACTGTTATAGAAATCAGATTTATAAGAATAAATAAATAAATTACTTGTAATTATTTATTTGACACTTAATGGTCAGTAATACAAAAATTGACTTTTGTGTATATTATGAATGATAAAAATTAAGTGTTATTATTTACTACGTCTACAAGAACAATCATATGAACAATTTTATAGTTAATTAAATTTTAAGCTATATAATATAAAACATTTGAAATAATGAGTGACTATTATTAAGTATAAAATTTAAGCTTGAACTTTAAACAATAATTAAAAAATAAATACCAAGTAAGAAAATTTTTTTTGTTTATCAGCAGTTAGTTCTTCATAAATTATTGAACTGTTTTGAATATCATCAAAATATTGATTGTATTTTGTTATGATTTGAAATTGATCACTACATAAAAATATTAAGATTACTTTACAAATATAAATAAATAGGTATATAAGTAGTTTAAAATAATAATTTATTAATTTATAAAACCCATTCTACCCGATAAGCTCTATTTTTAAGTACAATTATTCATTGTTTCATTGTGCAGTTAGGAAAATTTTTTTGTATAGTTGATAAAGAATTTTAGACAATAGAAAATTACTAAAATTATAAATAAAAAGATAGATTTAAAATGCGTAATGTAACTATTACTTTTTGAGTTAATTTATTTCCCATGATATTACTAATAGTGTGTTCGATATTTGAATACGAGAAAGAAACAATAGAATTATTTGAGAATAGGTAATTATTTTTGAGAAAATTTTTATCTAAGTAATGATACGATCACATTTAATCTAGCCGTTTGAGTTTATGAGGTCTATTTTAATTTTTAATTTTATCCTCAAGTATTATTGTAGTTTTATATTAAATGATTAAAAATTAATAATTTAATAAATATTAATACGAAAATTTAAAAACATTTTTAAATATATAGGATATTTTAATTAATTAATTGATATATAATTCATGACAAACTAAAAAACAAATAATGTAGTTGTAGGATGGATATCAGATAATTAAAATTTGTGAGTGTGAGGCAAAATTCCTGCAATATCTAGTTTAGAAATTTATAAATTTCTTGCATATTAAAAAAAAAATTCTTACATTATAGCTTGTCAACTGATATGTTAACCAATCTGAATATCCTGTACACTGGCATAATCATGGGAGGATATCAAAAAGAGCGATATGACATCGCCTTTCATGACAAAAATAATTATAATTATTAAAATGACTATGAAATTATAACACTTTCTATTTAAATTAGAAAGTGAAAATTTTCCTTATACATTTATTCTTCCTTAAGGTAAAACCTTAATTACACCATTACTGCCATAAGGTATTACTTCAGGCTAGCTCACACTGTGTAGCATTACCACATTGTGACTTAGATCAAAATTAAACAAGAATATTGACATATTAAATTTTAGAAAATAACAATAGATTATATTATTACTCATTAATATGAAGTTATATCAATTATTTAATTAAAGTACACCTTTGAAAGTTTAAATGAGTATATTTTAATTATAATTGATACAGACTTATACAGAATGTTCAGTAAGTAATGAAACAAGTAATTTATTATAAATAAAAACAATAGAAACCTGTTTCCTTACTTAATATAATCAACTAATGATTAACCTAGATTCTTCCAATTTAATTTATAACTTTTTATGTTTCTAAATATTAAAATATTGAGGTTGCACTTGAAAAAGGTTTAAATCAAAATTATTAATTTTTCAAGATGCAAAATTTTTCTACTAAAATTTTTTATTATTTCTGTCATTAAAAATATTCGATTAATAAGTTTATCAAAATTATTTTAATCTTAGTAATCTATTGAGATAATTTGATTAGTAAAAAATATTTCATTTTGTACTTAATATTATTAAGTTTATAATAAATATGTTTGGTAATATCTACTATATAATTTTAGGTTATATAATGATGATAGACATATTTTCTTTGGACCCAACTGTAGATAAATGAAATCTCTATTATAATTAAAAAATAAATCGACTTATCCCGCTTTTCACGAGTTGCTTGTGTAAATACCATTTTTAGACTTACCTACTACTTAAGGTGCACATAATACAATTTATAATAAATGAAGTATCATTTAGAAAAGTTTCATTTAGTTGCAATTCATTACAATTGCAATTACTTATTTCATTAATCCAAAACATAAATAAATGATTCATAATACCATTATCTACAGAAAAATATGATAATAAATTATCACTCTCTGAATTTTCACAAAGTTCTCTAAAATAAATACAAATATTTAATTTACAATAAAATTTAGAGATGATTTCCTGTATAAGTAACAAATATTTTTACCTTAAATATTTTAATGCTATTTTAGTAACTTCTTGATTGCAACCAATGTACTTACATAATTTTTCATTGATTATTGGGTAAAAATACTTCTCATTTATTAAAGAACAGAGAGTTTTCAAATATTTTGATTTTAAATAAATGTCAGAAGATTCTGGAAATAGTAATATCTAAAATATAATTTGGTATGATGTATAATGAAATAAAATGAATGGTAGTTGAAGTCTGAATAGGAATAATGTGCAACGTAAAAATTTCTTTTTGAAATATATATAGATTATATAGGTCCAAAATGACCCTATCACTTCTAATAATAATGTTAACATTGAAACTAGATATCGTTAAATTAAGACACTTATATAGTTTTTTTTAGATGCTATAAAATTTACAATTTTTTAATAAGCATTCCCACTAACGCTTTAATTTAATGTTAATTTATCACTGAGATTCAGTATTGAAATGGAAAATTAATAGGTTTCCTTCTTAAACGTTTAAATATTTTAATTGCATGTTAAATTATTTAAAAAGTTTCACCCTTCCAGAAATAATTCAAGTTGAAAAAGAAATTATATTTTAACATTTCTGGATGACCATTTTTTCCCATACTTTTATGGTATATTAAGGTCCATAAAAGTCTCCCTGATTGGAGGTTTCTTAACAATGAATACACCAAGATGGGTAGATAACCCGTCATCAAAAAGAGGTATGACTTCAATTACTGAACTTGCTCAGCAAACAGAGCTGTTTGTGACTGAGTCTCAAACTTAAGTCAGTGCACATTATACTTTGTTCTGTTTTGACTGAGGAAAATGGCCATAGTGAGGCATTTTACTATTGTTAGCTTTTATTTACACTTTCCACTATTGGTAACTATTGCAGGACTAGTTTTAAATTTTCTGTCATATAGCAAATATAATTTTTTACAAAATGTTTTCTCCAGTAGATTTATCTGAAGAATTTTTAGTTAAATATTCCCTTAACTATTATTAGCAAATAAAAAAAAATGTTATAATAATTTTTGACTTAATAAAATATACTATGAAATTTAGAATCTTTGTTATAGTACAATGTGTATGCTAAAAAATTATAATTTGTTTTTAATTGATTGATTATTTATAATCATCAAAAAAATTTAAATGTTATCAATAAAAACAGTCAAATACATAAACATACCATTGAAGTCACCAATATTAGAGTTAATGATAAAAGTCATTACTTCTTCATTATAGTATTTTGCAATTTCCTTGAACCCATTCAACATTTCATTTGTTACTTCTTTTGTTGTCTTAGATTTAATTAAATCAATTATAGTATTATAGTAATTTTGACGTTGTGATTTAGATAGTGTTTTAATTGATATTCTAAGAGCTTTTAAAGAAGAAATTTTAATCTCATTTACTTCACTGTGTGAATAAAGTAAAAACAAACAACAAATTTCTTCCCATCTTGTTTCTAAACCTGGTATAGCTGAAAAATAAGTAAATACAATAATAAAAAAAACTTCAAATTTTATTTATCATAGACTTACAGTGTAACTCTATTTCCATCTGTATACACATATTTGTAATTAAACTTAGAGCTTGTAAAATTTGTGGTACTTCAGACGGCGATAAATTACTTTTGTCCAAAAACATAAAATAGATCTTAGAAAGTAAGAAGGTTACAGATTATCAAAAATGTTTATGACTAATAGTAAAACTATTATACTTTTTCAGCAATCCTTCTACAAGCATATTTTGAAGTAATTCCCACATTACATAGTAACTTAATTGAGGGTATAAATAGTGTTGTTTGGGCATTAGATAAAAATCTATCTGAACCTAGATATATAAAATAAAAAAACTAGTTACACTGTATGCTAGAGGTTAGTGGGATAATTGTATACAATTGGGAAAATAGTAAAATGCATTTAATTAGATAGATGGACCAGTTATTATTTTGAACTTATACACAATATGATAGCAGTACATATAACAACCCAAATTTTTCAAACTAAAATAAAATCTTCTAAATATTCTAAAAAAAAATGAATTTACAACTATCCCATTTGTTTAAATTTACTCCACTTCATCCTATATATATTATTAAGTATGTAATATTTGCTCCCCCAGCTATAATGAAGTTACATGAGGTCAATAGCCAGGTAAAGTCTGTCAGTGGTATTTTTATAATATAAATTATTTTATATAATTTTAATGGTAGAGCAACCCCAAATAGTTGGGATAGAGGTTAAGGAGATGATAATGATGATTAAATATGAATTTTTTTTTTTTTGTAGTAATATTGTTATTCATTTTATAATTAAAATTAAACATTTTTAACTGAGACTCATGTAATATCTTTACAAATGTAAAAATTATAGTATGTTACGTTTTATGATTTAACTTATGCAAATAAATTTTAAATAATGAAGTCCACATAATAAGAAATAACTTATCTTGTTATCTAAACGGTCTAAAGTAAAAAAATGTATTTTGTCCCTTTTGAAAAGTTTATCAATGTAGACTATCTAATAATAAATATCTGGATATTGCACTAGTATCTTTATTTGAAATAGTCTTTTTATACAGAGTGATAATTTAATTATAACTCATGAAATATCTGAACGTATTGAAGTTTTCGTGAATTGTTATATTGCTTAAAAAGTTTATGGATGTATCCTCGTGTTCAGTTATGAGCTGACATTATAGACTCGTTGCAGAGTCCATCTACAAAGCGATAGTTCATGCAATATTCTTAAGAATATTTACAATACAATTTTTTCTTTTCAGTAGTTAATGGTATTCTATGTTCTGTACTTTCTGGAAAAAAAATTTGATCTTATCCTCCTATAATAGTATCACTTCAAGTTTTTTTAAATGGAAACATATATCTAATCAACTTAAAAACAAGAAAATTACTAATAATAATAGGCTAATGACAAAATTTGAGCCAGTATTTTGGAAGTTATTAGCTTTTTAATATAAATACTGGAGGTGAAAGGCAGATTTGTTTATTTTTAACTCTAGCCATTAATGAGCTGTACTACTCCTGTTGGATACAGAATACTAACATCATATAAAATACTTGTCCATAAGTTGTTATCAACCAATCATTTTTTTTTTAAGCCAGTTAAATATATGTTTATATTTAAAAAACTTAAGTTGATCAAATTTTATGGGAATTGGATCAAATTGTTTTCTAGAAATTACAAAACATAGAATATTATTAATTTCAGAAAAAAAAAATTCTAACATTTTTTATATTTTTAAAGATATTTCATGAGTTATAATTAAATTATCACTCTGTATAAAGAGAATATTTCAAATAAAAATACTAGTGCAATATCCAGATATTTATTATTAGATAGTCTACATTGATAAAATTTTCATATATAAGTCAGATAAAACTCATTTTTTTATTTTAAAATGAAGATACGTTTTTTTTTATTATATAGACTTCATTATTTTAAATTCATTTGCATAAGTTTACAAAAAAATTGGAAATTTGTTTTAAATTAAAACAGTGGTTACCAAACTTTGAGGTGTTTACTAGGTTGGTGTGAGGTAAAATATGATAATATCAAATTATTTATTATTTAATTTTACATCAATATCCATTCATAATTATTTAATGAAGCATTTTTTTTTATTTTTATTTTGATTCTAATAAATCTAAATTAAACATTTAATGAACAAAAACAAAATTATTGAAAAGCTATAATTATTATAAACTAGTGTAATATACTTTTTAAAATGATGTCTATAAAATTCAAAAGCTGTTCTTCATTGTCTTGCCCTTTTATAATTGCTAAAGAATATAATAAAGCAGTTAATACACTTATAGCAGCTTCTCGTACTACATCTGAAGTATCATCCGTGTCTGACATAATAATAAATTTTAGAATACGCCATATTTCTTCCATATGTTCTTTAATAATTTTTGAACTAAAATTTTCACAACATAATTTCTGAAAATAATAGTTTCAGTTTTAAGTTTTTTCTACAGTAAATTTAGATTAATTACCAAAAGATGTAATGAGTCTAATTTTGCAACTTCTTGACTTGCTTCTAATTTTTCTAAAGCTAAAAGAATACTGAAACAAGCAAAGTCTTCAACACATGTAAGACAACGGGCTAAATTTAATGCCAAATCAATTCTGTTTATTTTACTTTCTTTATTCTTAAAAAATATTGATTAATATAATAATATATTTTTTTTAATAATAAAAATAAGACAACATACTTCTCGAAAATCAATAGGAAAATAACATGCAATAACATCAAATGCTTCTTCAGCCAAATGACCAAGAGGATAATTGCAAAAAAATTGTGGCAAAATTTTAAACAGTAAAGATAAATTAGAAGGATCTCTTTCACCATCTATTGAAGAAATAACACAATAAACAAAATCTGGTCCTAGGAAATGTATATCTGAAATATCATTCAAGTGAGTAAAAAAACATGGACAATTTATCTAACCTATTTTTACTATATATTTACCATTTAAATGATTTATAAAAACATAATGTAGTATATGAAAAAATATGTTCCTATCTTTTTGAAGCTGTGATTGACAATGGAAATGAGGCATAATAACATTAAAAAATCTAATAATCATTTCTTTTTTAATATGTGTCATTTTTATCTAATCATAAAAATATTATTAGTATTTATGATATTAGATAAAAAAACTTCAAAACCAAGTTGCAAATATTACACATACTGTATTTTTAATACCAATCAAAATAGTTGGAACAAATGAATGGTGATCAATAAAACGCTCACATAAAAATTTATATATGAAATCTAGTTCGTCTGACTTAAAAAAATCTAAAGGCATTTTAGAAATAACCGCCACAAATGCTTTGAGACCATTTAAACGAATATTTTTATCACTAGAAGTTAATAATTCTTCTAAGCTTTCCACAAACTGTAGAAATGTGAAAGTTTGGCAAGAAATTTCTGAAAAAAAGTTAAAATATAAATAATTATCAAACTGTTTTCTATTCTATTAACTTTTATGGATTTACTAAAATAATATATTTTTGATACAGGTAGTTTGCAATATTGATACAAAATAGTAGGGAGGTATTAGGATGGACACAAAGGAAAAATACTTAATATTCTAAACAATTATAAAATTTAAACTTGATTACATTAACAGGAGGGTATAAAAGTAATATAGATTTCTATTGACCAATTATAACATGTTAATACACAATTATAATTAGTACTGTGTTACAGCACAGTGGCCGTTTGATCATTGTATCTACAACTAAAACATGGAAGCCCAAGTATTGAGGTGCCGAAGGATGCAATTATTAACAACTTAATTTATTTTTCACTACTTTAATGTTTGGTTATTGATTTTAAAAACAATGTGTTTTTTTTATATTATACAACAAATAATTACACAAACATATGTATAATGAAACTATAAGCATATAATTTTTAAGATGTTTAGAGGAGTTAGAATAATTTAAGTTAATTATATTTAATTAACTACATTATAATTTAAAAAAATTAAGGGCTTATAACATAGTCACTCCTCTGTGTTCATCCAAATTATTAAATTTATCTCAAATAATTAAGTAGATAAGCAAAAAAAGTCATTTGTTGGTCCGGCAATTATAGTGATACGAGTTGAATTTTTTTCTTACAAATTATATCAATTAACTATAAATAAGAAAAAAATGTATTTAATATTAATGAAGAATAAAAATAGATACCTTTACTGACTAAATCACATACTAATTCAATTTTTTCATGTTTTATATTTTCTACAATCTCAGAAAATACCTCAGACATTTTAAAGAGTTAAAATTACATCAATATTTATTTTCATGTACTAAAAAATTATGTTACTAAAATAATTACTCTTTTTGAATGAGTTATCAGATGAGCACATTATCAATCGCGGGACACAAAAAACAAGCTACTTCCCAAGTTTGCCAACGATTACGATATTTTGATAACATAATACAATAGTACATTTTCGACATTTATTATAAGTTGTGTTGATAAAAATTACAATTACTTTTCTTGTTCGTTAATACGAATATTAAAATTCTTTGCCGATTCAATAATTCTTCTCCGCTGACAAATCCGTTGCCATGTTGATGCTGAAGGTGTTGTTTATTTTGGACAGGTTTCTTTTCACCGTATTAAACCATCTCTGGCTTAGTATTTCCAACCAGGTTCCCTACTATAAACTTTCTTATGAGGGATCTTTCTGCCTACCACACGTGGTCTGTTCATACCATTCTTTTACTACGAATGAATTGCCATACACTAGGACTTCTGTAAAATCTCTGTAACTCGTCATTCCTTCTTCTTTCGAATACCCCTGAATTTACATATACTGTCTCATATATATATATATATATATATATATATGTATGTATTTTCTTCATTTCCTTTTGTATTTGCAAATGTTTCACATGCATGATAATATGGGGCGCAAATATGTAGTGTATAGCCTTTCTTTCATTCAGGGCGACAGAAGCTTTGATGATAACACCTCTTTCATAGCAAAATAACTTCTTACATAATATGTTGTTTTTAGCTTCGATGCGAAGCTGAGAAGGTATTAATTTTACAATGTTGTGTTTTTTAACACGCTTATATTAGTTTCACCTGTATGTATGTATGTATGTATGTATGTATGTATGTATGTATGTATGTATGTATGTATGTATGTATGTATGTAACTCTCCAAACGCCACGCGTTATCGCATATTCCGTCGTCTAGACTAGACTGTCATAACGCATTCACCCCTCCCCACGCATCGCTCACCACAAGACGGCTTACTATTCCTATAAAAATGTATTCTTAGTTATCGTACCCGTACACACGTGCGTGTCATCAATATTATATATATATAAACAAATTTTTATTTTGACTGACCATTATCATCCGCGTGCATACGGCTTACGTATATATTCCTACCGCCGTTTATACCTCAGGTTTAATGTTAGACCGACCCGCCCGCCCACAAAACACTGCTATACCTAATGCATGATACGTTTACGTACTTAAGTCGCTTTACATGTACATATATATATTCTAATTACTATTAAAAATATATATTAACAAACTTACAAGGGGAGGTCACGGTGATGGGGTCACCGATTTTCATAAAATTTATATAGATCTAATCTATATTGAATACAGAATCAGACGTATTTGGAATTTTTTGCCAATGCCCCCCCTAAGTCGAGAAAATTGACTTTGAAAATTTTTAATTAGCTTAAATGGGGTCATTTTTCTTCCGGTTAACAATTCGTGTAATGGTTCAGTGGACTATACGTGATCCCACAACACGTACAGGCTCGGGATTGAGTCTCAGCGACTGACGAAATTTTTTGCTTTTTTTTTTTTTATTGTTTTCTCTTTAAATTATTAATTTTACGGAATATTTGTTAAATNTCTTTAAATTATTAATTTTACGTAATATTTGTTAAATTTTTGTATACATTTTATTTATCTATATAGTTTTATTTGCATTCAAAGCACATTTTGATGGTACAAATTATCGATTGTCCAATGGTAAAACTATGATTAAAGTAAACTAAACTTTTATACACATAAATATAACTTTTACTATTAACCAGGTAAGAGTATATGTATAAAGAGATGATTATGAGGATTTAAACATATATAAAATCATTATATATTTTAATTTAACCTATTGTAATTTTCAAAAAAATGTATGTTTGTTATATGAAAAAAGTCATAGTCAATTGAATAAATAATAATTTATAATTATATTTTTTATTATTATTAATTTTAATTATTAAATAGTAATTAAAAAATAATAATGTAAGAGTTTTAAATACACGTAAATATCAATCAATAAATATAATTCAATTCAAATGAATAAATTTTATTTAATGAAAAAAAAAAATGATTAACTTTACTCCTTCATAAAATATGAACTACACGCAAAACCTAGCACTGAACGTTAAACCTTTCAAAAATCTCTTTCCTTTATAATTTATATACTCTTACTCGGTTAATATAAAAATATATTTTATTTATTACTATAAAAAATTTAACAAATATTCCGTAAAATTAATAATTTAAAGAGAAAACAGTGAAAAAAAAAGCAAAAATTCTCTTCAGTCGCTGAGACGACTCGTCGATCCCGAGCGTGTATGTGTTGTGGGATTACGTATAGTCCACTGGACCATAACACGAGTTGTTAACCGGAAGAAAAATGACCCCATTTAAGCTAATTAAAAATTTTCAAAGTCAATTTTCTCGACTTAGGGGGGGCATTGGCAAAAAATTCCAAATACGTCTGATTCTGTATTCAATATAGATTAGATCTATATAAATTTTATGAAAATCGGTGACCCCATCACCGTGACCTCCCCTTGTAAGTGTATTAATATATATTTTTAATAGTAATTAGAATATATATATGTACATGTAAAGCGACTTAAGTACGTAAACGTATCATGCATTAGGTATAGCAGTGTTTTGTGGGCGGGCGGGTCGGTCTAACATTAAACCTGAGGTATAAACGGCGGTAGGAATATATACGTAAGCCGTATGCACGCGGATGATAATGGTCAGTCAAAATAAAAATTTGTTTATATATATATAATATTGATGACACGCACGTGTGTACGGGTACGATAACTAAGAATACATTTTTATAGGAATAGTAAGCCGTCTTGTGGTGAGCGATGCGTGGGGAGGGGTGAATGCGTTATGACAGTCTAGTCTAGACGACGGAATATGCGATAACGCGTGGCGTTTGGAGAGTTACATACATACATACATACATACATACATACATACATACATACATACATACATACATACATACATACATACAGGTGAAACTAATATAAGCGTGACCTCCCCTTGTTNCATACATACAGGTGAAACTAATATAAGCGTGACCTCCCCTTGTTAGATATAGAACTCATTCATTCCGATTACAAAGGATGAATCCAGTATCGTCAATTTTCGTCACTACCTCCATGTTCCGGGAGTGGGTAATTTACGCGCTTGCTGCTGTCCTTGGATGTGGTAGCCGTTTCTCAGACTCCCTCTCCGGAATCGAACCCTGATTTAAAACATAAAACTAAAAAGTGAAAAATAAATATAGTTAAATTCGTGATTTTTAGTTTTTTTAAACTATATTTATTTGTGTCTGTTACCACTTTTTCTCAGCTCTCACTGAACTGATTTCTTTTAACGATACGTCAAAATATCACAAATCGTATCTAGTCGAAAACATTACCCTCAAAAATTGAAAAAATTTACCTCGTTCCCCGTAAATGGGGGAAATCTCCAAAAAAAATTACAAATTTAAAAATCGCTAATATTCGAAATTTTTTCAATTTTTTTTACTAAAAACTGCCATAACTTTTTCAAAAATGACACATTTCAATATAATTTTTTTTTTATGGATGCTTGATGTCTTTACCTATCATTTGGTAAATTTTTTTTATAAATTTAACCCTTTACCAGCCAACGAGGGGGATTCAAAATGACAACCTTTTCACACAAACTTTTTCAACTAAACTTTTGAAAGTGTTCCGGAAATACTGAAACTTTTATATATATCTTAAATTAAAGCTAATGTAATATACTTTATAATGGAAAAAAAAAATTTCGGACTTTATTTTGTCTTCACAGTGAAAATGGCTACCGTATGCTATTTTTGTGTTAAAATTCTCGATTTTATAATTTACATTTTTAACTTTTTGAAAAATGTAAGGATCAATACAATTTTTAGCTTCGATGCGAAGCTGAGAAGGTATTAATTTTACTATGATGTTTTTTTTTTTATGTCTGTTGCCACTTTTTCTCAGCTCTCACTAGACCGATTTCTTTCAACAATACGTCAAAAGATCACAAATCGTATCTAGTTGAAAACATTACCCTCAAAAATTGAAAAAATTTACCTCGTTCCCCGCAAATGAGGGAAATATCCAAAAAAATTACAAATTTAAAAATCGGTAAATTTTGTCATTTTTTTCACTTTTTTTTCTTAAAACTTTTTCAAAAATAAACAAATCAACATAATTTTTTTTTATACTAAAACCTTAGATATTTCTCATTCATTTGATATCATTTTTTTGAAAATCTTCAAAACTTGAAACATTGTATAAAAAATAGAACTTTTTCAACTGAACTTTTGAAAATGTTCCGGAAATACTGCGTCCTTTAAACATATATAAAATTAAAGCTTATTTTATGTACTATAAAATAAAAAAAAACCCAGCACAGGGGGGTCGCGGCACAGTGGTGACGTGGCATAGTTGGATCAAGTATAATGATATCTGACAGTGATTAAAATCACTATCAAAAAAAAACGCTTCGATGCAAATCTTTAGATAGTGTTTAATTTTAAAAAATTGGTGGATTATTCCAAAAGCTTCATAAACTGCTAGTTCCTTATTAATATCCTGATTAAGACAAAGTATGTAGAATAAAAAAGAGATTATTAGAAAATAGTATTTCCCATAAAAAAATTATATTGATCAATACACTTTTCAATAAGTTATAGCATTATAATGTTAAAAATGTAAAAAATAAAATTGAGAATTTTCACACAATAATAGCATTTGGTAGCCATTTTCACCTTGAAGATAAAATAAAGTCCGAAATTTTTTTTTTCCATGATAAAGTATATTACATTAGCTTTAATTTAAGATATATATAAAAGTGTCAGACTTTCCGGAACACTTTCAAAATTTAAGTTGAAAAAGTCAATTTTTTGTGAAAAAGTTGTCATTTTGAATCCCCCCCTGTAGGCAGGTAAAAAGTCAGATTTATAAAAAAAATATACCAAATGATAGGTAAAGACATCATGCATCTACAAAAAAAAGAATTATATTGATCCATACATCTTTCGAGAAGTTATAGCATTATAAAGTTAAAAATATAAAAAAGAATTTTTTTACAAAAATCGTATT